CCTGTCTTTAAATTTAAAAAAAAAAAAAAAAAAAATTTACCTTTCACTGCAAATTGCAGTGATTCTTGATTTCATTATATCCCAAACTTGTGAAAGACAACTAAATAGAATGAAATATGCCAGATATGTACAATACTATACAAAAGCCTAAAGAACACATGAAAGAGCATCTGCTTTAAATATACAGGCTAAGTGCTACTTGCAGAAGCGATTTTTTTTTTTTTTTGGGAGACAGAGTCTCATTCTGTCACCTAGGCTGGAGTGCAGTGGCATAATCTCAGCTCACTGCAACCTCTGATTCCCAGGTTCAAGGGATTCTACTGCCTCAGCCTCCCGAGTAGCTGGGACTAGTAATATTTTTGTATTTTCGGTAGAGACATGGTTTCCACTACGTTAGCCAGGATGGTCTCGATCTCCTGCTCTCGTGATCCACCTGTCTCGGCCTCCCAAAGTGTTGGGATTACAAGGCGTGAGCCGTGGAAGGAATTTTTAACACTACATTGCCCAGTTCTGTCTATGTATTTAAGTAGGAGAAAATCTTTTCTCCAAAAGTTTGTCCATTAACTGAAATGGCAAGGGAAAATTACTGGCCTACAAAGAATTGATAATCTAAATGCTTCTAAATTTATTAACAAAGTTAATTTACTACTACCTATCTGTTCCCTAACAAGACTGTAGTAAAAAGTTCATTCCACACATGCTCCCTCTCCATTCTTCACTCACTAGCAGAAAAAGCTAGCTAGACGTGAGGTTCTGGTGTCTTTACAGGACAGCTCTCAAGTGACTCAACAGATGTATTCCTAGCGGATCAAAAATGACTGTCAAACTTCATCCTACCTCCCATGCAGCCAATCTTGAGAAGGAGATTAGGAAAGGACAAAATTAACAGCTGCCACACAAGCCCAAATGCAGTTTATGTTGCCCCTCTGCTCCCCAAAATGGGGAAACTTCATTTTTCCCCTCTATATTGTCCACCTTTTTTTTTTCCCCCCGAGAGTCTCGCTCTGTCACCCAAGCTGGAGTGCAATGTCACAATCTCGGCTCACTGCAACCTCCACCTCCAGGGTTGACGCAATTCTCCTACCTCGGCCTCCTGAGTGGCTGTGCCCGGCTAATTTTATTCTTGTAGAGAAGGGGTTTCACCACATTGGCCAGACTGGTCTTGAACTCCTGACCTCAGGTGATCCACTCACCTCGGCCTCCCAAAGTGCTGGGATGACAGGCCTGAGCCACCACGCCCAGCCTATTCCCCACGTTTTTGTACTAATTCATATATGGGACGGTAAGACTTGTTTGAGAAATGTTAAGAAATGATGGACTTGCTTAATGTGGTTTTAAACGATGCAAAAACTATTCCTTAGGCCACTGGCTTGTTAAAGTGATGATATGTTAGATGTAATCTTCAACTCCTAGCCCCGAACTTCAGTATTTCCTGTGGCCCAAAATTGTCGTTTTCCTGACCACAGCTTAGATCTTCCTCCCTTACCATTAAATAATCCATATAAATTGATTCCAATGCCCCAGGACAGAATTAAATGAGGCTACAAAGAAGTTTAGGCACCCGTTTAACACAGCAAGCAAAATAAAATAAGCCTACTGCAGTACAGGGAGGTAAGAGCAAAAGACAGCTAGAAAGCCAGCACTTGCACACAAGCACCCAAAAAAGAAATCCTGCCAATACACTGTCTTAGCTTTTTCCACCCCACCCCCCACCCTCCACAAACTTGATCAATTCTGCTTGGTAACTAGAACTAAGGGAAAAACTTTTTGTCACCAGAAACAAAAAAATATTGCCCTAAATATAAAGGAATGGACAAAGGTAGAGGCCGATTCCTGGTGTCTGTCTCCCCTCTCCTTTCCACTGAGTCCTTACCTTCCTTACGCCCCAAGTCACAGGAATAGCTCCTCACCTTGGAGATCTATCTTCCTACCGGCTTTAGATGCTGAAGGGGACACCTAACATTAACAACTGCAATAATGTGGCCGTATCAAAGAGTCCTACGTTCAAAACCCAATAAAGGCTCTGGTCAGAAATCCTCACGCCAAAATATAACTACGATAACCTGTAATTTATTTGGAAACTACAATCATAAGCTTTTGAATCGTTTTTAAAACGAGTTAAAAAAAAAAAAAAAATTACCTCTCACATTCTTTCTAGTTACCACAGCAAGTTTACTTAAAGCCCCAATCCCCACAAAACAGAAAGCATTCAAGTATCATTTGTTTCCTGCCGAGAACGCTAACAGATGAAGAGGGGAACATCTGGAGATGAGGGCGGAGGGGAGTCTTCCAATACAAGCACACCTATATCTGTTTGATTTTTTTCAACACTGAAATAAAGACAGAGCTGACCTTGAGCTGTACTTCCCCATCTTATCCCCTCCCTCCCCCAACAGCAACCTTGTTCAATACAAATAACAATCAAAGAATTTACAAGATGAAATTTAGTTCAGCATATTTCCTACATTTGAGCTCCAGAGGCTGTTATTTTCAAATCCCTGAATCCTCATTTCTGATCACGGGGACCAGCCCTGAGGTTATTCACATGACCAAATCGGCATTTCCAGGAAAGCAAGGGCCCTATGAAACATTTTGAAATATAGGTAGCTTAACCAGGAAAAATCTCAGATCAAGGACACTAGATTCCAACCATGTCTCACCCCACCCTACCATGCAAAAGCATGAAAACCACAGCACCCGCATACAGGACTTCTGGTTTCGGTAATACCACAATATGGCAAAACTCTAAATGTGAGGGTAATTCAAGTCTGCAGGTCAAAAAAGGTGGATGGGGGGAAGATGAAGAAGAAACTTCCTGGCAGACACAACGGATATTTGGATTAAGTTCTGAAAAGAGACTGAAGAACCGGTTAGGGGCAAAGGGACAATGAACAAAGAGGAACTACTCAAATTCCTACATAAACCCACTTATTTAAAATAGAAAAAAAAAAGAAAAGAACAAGACCTCCAACCTTCATAACTCAAAGACCCCAGGCCCAGCCGAGTGCCCGGAAGAGGCTAAGATCCCCCACGAAATACAAACCCGCATTCCGAGCCTGCAGTCTCAACCAAAATACAGTTACTAAACGCTACTGGAAATAACTTTATTTCAACAGGTCTTTTTTCCATGTGCCATGAGGGTACGAACAAACTGTAAAGTCATCGTTTTCCCAAACGGGTGGACGGAGGCTCGAACCCAGAGTCGCGCAGCCCCCTGGTCTCCTGGTTCCATCCATCAGAACCCGCTGCTGACGGAGCCAGAGAAAGGTTACAGGAACTTCGAGCTCGGCCATTTAGAGCGAGGAAAAGGGGCGGGAGCCCGGATCTTCTGGACCTCCCCGGAAGGCGGCGAGGGGGAAAAGCCCGAAACCCCTCACTCCGGGGCGCCGGCGGACCCGAAAGAAACCCGACCGCGGCCCCGCAGCCCGCCACCGCCCAGGACCCAGTGCAGCGATGCCCGATGCCCGCTCCCCGCTCCCAGCTGTCACCCAGGGCCGCCCCCCGCCCCAGGCCTGAGGAAGCGCAACGCGCTCCACGCTCTCCTTTGTGAGACTCCACGGCCGCCGCCCCACACGGGGCCTCCGGGGAGAAGCCACCGCCCCCACCCGCCATATTTCCCTGAAAGGCGCCCGCGCTACAGCTCCCAATCTCGGCGCTCTCCCGTGTGGCGGGTGCTGCTTCTCCCGTCACCCCACTCAATCGTTCTCCACCTCCCAAGGCCGTCCCGGGAGCTCCCCTGGGGGTGGCCGGTTCGGAGGCAGCGCCCGCCATCTCCTCCCCCGCCCCGGGACTCGCCCTCCCCCCCGGCCGCCATTTTACAACCAACTCCTCCACCCAGCCGCCCCAGTCTCCCGGCCAGCGAGGTGTGTGCAGCTGAGGACGGAGAACGGGTCACATTCCGGGGCACACGGCCTCCTGTCGCTCCGGGAGCTCCCAGGCCAGGTCCCGCTCCCCGAACCCAAGTCCCCGGGCCAGGCTCGCGGACGATGCCGCCATTTTGTCTCCCGTTCCCGGCCTCTGTGGGCGGCGGCAGAGGGTCCGAGAATTCCAGCCCCCCGTTGCCCCCCCAACTCACCGTCGTATCGCTCAGCCTGCTCGGCCAGCTTCGCCTGGTACACCAGATCCTCCCGATCATCCATAGCGGCAGCGGCTCCGGCAGGGTCTGCGCGACGGATGGAAGCGGATAGTGTCTCCGACTCTCTCAGCCTCTCGCTCCGCGTCCGGGCAGCAAAAATGGCGGCGCCTCAATCCGGGACTTCCGCCTGCGCACGCGGACAACTGCTCAGCTCTATGGCAACCGCTCCCTGGCAACTGGCGCGGGGGGCGGGTCCTGGAACCCGCGCCGGAGACGCCCCTCCTCCGTCCGCTCAGCGGGCGCCGGAGCCTAGAGGCGGGAACTGCGACTGCCGCGACGGAGCGGCCCCGGGAGAACGCGGTGGCGGAGGACAGGCCGGCCCGGGCTGCTCCTGAAAACCGCGGGCGCGAGACCTGGGCCAGACCGACGGCCGAGGCCCGGCTTGCGGAAAACAACCACGGAGGCTGGGACGGTTTCTGTCATCATGGCAGGTCTTCCTGCCCGAAATCAGCGCTGTCACTACGGCGTCCTGGTTTTCTTTTTCCTTTTTCTTTTTCTATTTTTTTAAGATGGAATTTCACCAGGCCGGGCGCAGTGGCTCAAGCCTGTAATCCCAGCACTTTGGGAGGCCGAGGCGGGTGGATCACAAGGTCAGGAGATCGAGACCATCCTGGTCAACATGGTGAAACCCCGTCTCTACTAAAAATACAAAACATTAGCTGGGCATGGTGGCGCGTGCCTGTAATCCCAGCTACTCAGGAGGCTGAGGCAGGAGAATTGCCTGAACCCAGGAGGCGGAGGCTGTGGTGAGCCGAGATCGCGCCATTGCACTCCAGCCTGGGTAACAAGAGCGAAACTCCGTCTCAAAAAAAAAAAAAAAAAGATGGAATTTCACGCTATCGTCCAGGAGTTTTGCTTCTGTTGACCAGGCTGGAGTGCAATGGCGCAATCTCGACTCACGGCAACCTCCGCCTCCCGGGTTCAGGAGATTCCCCCGCCTCAACCTCCCGAGTAGCTGGGATTACAGGCACGCGCCTCCACGGCCGGCTGATTTTTGTATTTCTAGTAGAGACGGGGTTTCTCCATCTTGGCCAGGCTGGTCTCGAACTCCTGACCTCCGGTGATCCGCCCGCCTTGGCCTCCCAAAGTGCTGGTATAACAGGCGTGAGCCACCGCGCCCGGCCAGCGCCCTGTTTTTCTCCGCCAAGTCCGGTCTTGGGCTTTTTTCAGACACTTTTACCCTCAGGGTAAAGAACTGGGCCCTGGCCCAGCGCGGTGACTCATGCCTGTCATCCCCACACTTTGGGAGGCCGAGGCCGACAGATCACTGGAGTCAGGAGTTCAAGACCATCCCGGCCAACTTGGCGAAACCCGCTAAACAATGCACATATGAGGTGGGCGTGGTGGCGGGCGCCTGTAATCCCAGCTACTCCGGAGACTGAGGCAGGAGAATCTTTTCAACCCGGGAGGGGGAGGGTGCGGTGAGCCAAGACAGCGCCATTGCACTCCAGCCTGGTCAACAGGAGCAAAACTCCATCTCAAAAAAAAAAAAACAGCAACACTGGGCCCTATTACAGTTGGCAGGGACAGGGGAGCTGCAGTTTTCACGCCTCCACGTTGCCGTCACACTCATCTTTTTCTTCTGTTTAACCTTTTTCCCCCAGAGGCTGCCATGAATGGGAGCAGAGAATTTGTTAGAAGAGAATGGTGTGGAGTACATGGCATAGCAGAGTTGAACTGACATCAACTTAAAATTGAGGAGGCAGGAATAACTCAGGGAACATTGCTTCAGTGCCTGGCGCTTGGGAGGCCGAGGCGGGAGAATCGCTTGAGCCCAGGAGTTTGAGACCAGCCTGGACAACATAGCGAGATCCCATCTCTACAAAAAAAACTTTGTTTTTAATTAACCAGCCATGGTGATGTCACCTGTGGTCCCAGCTACCCAAGAGACTTCGGTGGGAGAATTGCCTGAGCTTGGGAGGTCCAGGCTAAAGTGAGCCATGATAGTGCAGCTGCACCCCAGCCTGGGCAACTGTGAAACCCTGTCTCAAAAAAAAGAAAGAAAATGATAAAAGAAGCACAGATAAAAGCCAAAAGCAGCAGCCATCCTTCGGCTGGGCGCGGTGGCTCACACCTGTAATCTCAGCACTTTGGGAGGCAGAGGCAGGCGGCTCACCTGAGGTCAGGAGTTCAAGACCAGCCTGGCAAACACGGTGAAACCCTGCCTTAAAAAAAACAAAAACAAAAAATTAAAAAAGAAAAGAAAAAGATGGGGCTGGGAGCGGTGGCACACGCCTGTAATGCCAGCACTTTGGGAGGCCGAGGCAAGTGGATCACCTGAGGTTAGGAGTTCGAAACCAGCCTGACCAACATGGGGAAATCCCGTCTCTATTAAAAATAAAAAATAAGCCGGACGTGGTGGTATACACCTGTAATCTCAGCTACTCCGGAGGCTGAGGCAGGAGAATTGCTTGAACCCAGGAGGCAGAGGTTGTGGTGAGCCGAGATAGCCCCATTGCACTCCAGCCTGGGCGACAGAGGGAAACTCCATCTCAACAACAACAAAAAAAGGTAGGTTAGAATCAAATTGTGAAGGACCTTGGATAGTAAGGTAAGAAGTTTGAATCAATTTTTTTTCCAAGATGGAGTCTTGCTCTGTCACCCAGGCTGGAGTGCAGTGGTGTGATCTTGGCTCACTGCAACCTCCACCTCCCGGTTTCAAGCAATTCTGCCTCAGCCTCCCAAGTAGCTGGGACACACCTCATGCCCAACTAACTTTTGTATTTTTAGTAGTGATGGGGTTTCACCACGTTGGCCAGGCTGGTCTTAAACTCCTGACCTCAGGTGGCCCACCTGCCTCGGTCTCCCAAAGTGCTGGGATTACAGGTGTGAGCCACCCTACCCAGCCATCAATTTCACTTTTTAAAAGACATAGGGGCCGGGGCACATTGGCTCATGCCTCTAATCCCAGCTACTTGGGAGGCTAAGGCAGAAGAAACACTTGAAACTGGGAGGCGGAGGTCGCAGTGAGCCGAGATCCTGCCATTACACTGCAGCCTGGGCGAAAGAACAAAACTCTGTCTCAGAAAAAAAGAGACATAGGAGCCTGGCATGCTGGCTCACACCTTGAAATCTTAGCACCTTCAGAGGCTGAAGCAGGAGGATCTCCTGAACCCAGGAGGTTGAAGCTGCAGTGAATCGTGATTGCACCAGTGCACTCCAGCCTGGGTAACAGAGTGAGACCCTGTCTCAAAAAATAAAGTGGGGAGGGGGAGGGATATTGCCGTGTTTCACACACTGGCCTTGAACTGAGCTCAAGCAGTCTCACCTTGGCCCCCGAGGAGCTGGGAGAATACAGGCTTCCACCAGTGCACCCAACTCTGCATCCTATTTTGTGGCCAAGGGAGCTGTATGATTTTGCATGGAGGATGATGTCATCATTGCTATATTTGAGAAATATTAATAAATGTTGCATAGCAATGATTAAAGAGGAGGATAAGCAAAGGTAATAGATGGTAGCAATGAAAATAGAAAGGAAAGGATAAATAGGAATAGCAGTATAGAGGCAGGCCACAGAGTTTCTAGCTGATCAGATTGGAGCTCTTTTTTTTCTGAGACAGAGTCTCACTCTGTCACCGAGACTGGAGTGCAATGGCGCGATCTCGGTTCATGCAACCTGTCTCCCAGGTTCAAGCAACTCTCCTCTCAGCTTCCTGAGTAGCTGGGACTACAGGCGCCTGCCACCATCCCCAGCTAATTTTTTGTATTTTTAGTAGAGACGGGGTTTCACCATGTTCTCGAACTCCCGACCTCAGGTAATCTGCCCGCCTCGGCCTCCCAAAGTGCTGGGATTACAGGTATGAGCTACCGCGTCCAGTCTCTTTTTTTTTTTTTTTTT